CTGTATTTCAGGATTCATGTCGTTATTTACATTAACTTGCGAGCCAAGGTATACAAATTCCGAGACATCTTCAAATGTCATCCCTCCAGTTTCTACATTTGCCTCTCTGTGGCCTCCACCCTTTGGGTCGGCCCGCATAAACTTTGTTTTCATCTCATTGACCTTAAGCCAATTCTCGCTGCTGCTCCTTGTAGGGCTAAGAAAGCATCTTGTATAGCTGCCCTTGTTCTTCCAACTAATGCAATGTCATCGGCAAACCCTAGTAATTGCACTGAATGATTAAAGACCGTTCCACCAATCTGAATTTGGGATGTTCTAATGGCACATTTGAGGGCAATGTTAAATAGAAGACACGCCAAGCAATCTCCTTGACGCAGTCCCTTCTGCATTTCAAAGTAGTCCGACATATCGCCTTGGATTCTGACTGTGCATTGTACCTCCTTCATTGTCACTTGTATCAGTTGCACAAGTTTAGGTGGGACATCCAGGCCCAACATATCGTGGTAGAGCTCATCTCTTAGAATGCTATCATAAGCTCTCTCAAAGTTTACGAAGAGGTAGTGTGTGCATACATTATACTCTCTTGCCCTTTCTAGGATTGTTCTAATAGAGAATATCTGGTCGACCATAGATCTTCCTCGCATGAGTCCAGCCTGATTTATTTCTATTTCTCTCTCAGCAAACGGAACTAGCTTCTGAAAGAGGATTCTTGAGTGAATTTTATACGCATATGAAACCAGAGATATTCCACGATAGTTGTGACAGTCCAAGATATCACCTTTCTTATGGATCGGGCAGATGATTGTCTTGTACCAATCATCTGTAATACTTCTTCCGCCCATATTGCCATTATAGCGTTATGCATAAATCTTGAAAGTTCTTCCCCTCCATATTTAAACAGTTCCGAGGGTATCCCATCCATCCCAGGGGCTTTATTGTTTTTCAGGATTTCTATGGCATCTTCCACATCTTCCAAGTCGGGAGGCTCCAGATCGCCAACCGGTAATTCCTGCCTTTCCACTCTACAGCAGGGGATATTGTCATTTAAGAGCCTTTGAAAATAGCATTTCCATTGCTCCATTATTTTGTTCTTATCAGCGATTAAGTTCCCTCTGTGTCCTTGCAAGCACTGGTCCAGGGTTTGAAAGTTCTTCGGCTCTGGATGATACGATTGTAGAATTTCCTGATTTCATTTTGGCCCCTTATGTTCTCTATCTCTTCCAGTTGTTTCCTTTCCCAGGTCCTTTTCTTCCTCTGAAAGAGTCTTTTCTCTTCCCTTATTCGGGCTCGGTATTCTTCTACAGAAGTTCTAGTGTGTCTTTGCTGGACCATCTGCCGATAAGCTTTATTCTTAATAGTAGTTATCCTCTGACACTCCTCATCGTACCACCCTGCTTTCCGTGTAACTGCTTGACATCCAATTAGTTCATTTGCGACTTCCACTATTGCCTCCTTGTTGGTTTAAGTCACCGGATCCATTGAGGTTTCTTATCTTATGATTCATATGCCTAGAGAAGCTTTCTCTCTTCTCATAATCTTTGAACACCTTCACGTTAAACCTGGCTTGTTGCGTTCTTCGCTGGACTAGCAACATTGAAATTCGCGCTCTGATCCGGGCGATTGTGAGGTAGTGATCAGAGTCAATGTTTGTCCTCCTGTAAACTCAGATATCCTGTAGACTTGAAATGTTCCAGGTTCCAAGTTTAAAATCCATTAGACGGGTGCCGTGTCGTTGCCTTAGGTTCAGTCCGGCTTGTCTCTGTACGGGCTTCACAATAATTAAATTTAAGGGGAGGTCTCAGTCTATTGTGCATGATGGATGTATACAACTTGTACAACACTGGAGACACGCATATGGGTCTGTAGTTGGAGCATTCAGCCTGGCTGCCTTTTTTATGTATGGGAATTATGACATTATATTCCCATTTTGTAGGGATCCTTTTCCTGTCCCAGGCTTTTTGAAAAAGTATTTGCAGTACTAAATTACCTCACTAACTCCATCCCACCATACTTAACAAACTCTCCAACTAAATGATCGCGTCCTGGAGCTTTTTCTGTATTTATCTTTTTCATATTGTCGCCTTCATACTTCCATGATACTTTTGTCCTCCGAGACCATTTCTCGTTGCTCATTCTTAATATTTCTTATTCCTTTGCTTGTTCGGCCTCTTATTGCTTTGATCTTTTTCCGAAATAGTTCTATTTCTTTCCCGTGACCCTGCTTCAATCTCTATGCAAATTCTTCCCATGACATATTCTTTGCTGTTTTTACAGCCTCCTTATTCATATTCCTTGCTAATACATATGATTGCCATTTTTCTGTGGTTTTGTCCCAGCAATGATTACTCCAGGTTATTTTCTTTTCCTTGACCAATGCTTTTAATTTATCGCTCCAGCATGCAGTACGTTTATCCTTTGTAAGTATTCTTCTGACTCCACAGACCAATGTAGCCGGTTCCAGAATACTGTCGTTTATTTGTTTCCAAACATCTTCCAAGCTAGCGTTTGCATCCAATTCCTGAAGTTTTCTCTTCAGTTCATCTTCATACCTCTGTCTTTTCTGACGGTCCTGAAGCTTTTCTACCTCTATCATATTGTATGCTTTTGGTTTTGTCTTGTGTTCCTTAAGTACCCTGGTGTCGGCTACCAGTGGCATATGGTCACTACCTATCTCCGCTCCTCTAATAATCTTTACATCTGAGAAAAACCTCCTGATGTCTTGGTCATATATAAAATAGTCAATGACACTATTTGCATTTTGTTCCATGGCAGAGAAGGTAATTTTGTGCAATGAGTTGTGAGGAAAATATGAATTCCCAATAAGCATGCCTACTGAGTATCGACGTTTTTAATTTAGGTCACTTGTCAGTATAAAGGTTTGTGTGATTTTCAATGTTTCAACAGTATGGGTGTTTATTCTACTAGATTATTCTTGTATAAATTGTGCTATAGGTATTATAGGCTTCTTTTTCATCTCAGCAGCGAAGGATTTTCTAGAAACAAGGCATCAACAGAAACCAAAATTCATGAAGATATGACATATTCTGATTCGAGACATGTAACTGACAGAAACTAATGGACTTGGGAAGCATATAAAGCAGGAAATACTTATATGCTATTGTGAGGAAAATACAACATTCTGGCAGCATTAAAAAGAAAATATTCTCAGCATTTGGAAAGAACATTCACAGTAGCTCCTCAGTCAATGGAAATTCACAAACAATGAAGATATGGACAACACTGAGGACCTTGATTCTCATGAAGTTGAAAATTCAGATATACTGAAATGAAATGAGAAATTTCTTTATTTTTCAGGGTCTAAGTCCCTTAAGAATAAAATAAACATTTCACTACATAGTGGCCTGACTCATTCACATAAATAAAAAAAAGAAAAGAAAAAAATAGCAAATGAAAATAAATGTTTATATTGACTAAAATAACAAAACTGCTAAAAAAGTAAATAACAAAAAGAAAAGAAAACAGGAAGTGGATACTAACAGTAATATGAACTCTGCAACACATTTAATGATCAGAAAAGTAATTTTAATGTAGAATAATATTGATTTGACTGCAAGAGGAAAAGGTGGTTGAAGAGAAGAGCTTTAAACAAGGAAAGTGTTTAAGCATTGCGGATGGTAGGTGGGATAGAGTTCCAGAAGAAGGCAGCTCAGTGAGGAAGAATTTGCCAAACACCCCAGTTCAGTGGGGAGGAGGGTAGAACTGAGATGGATGAGATCAGGTGGGACAGAATTTGATGGATGATTTAAATTGCAGGATCTGTAATATGTAGGATTCGAGCCGAGTTCTGATTACCTGATATAGGAAGGATGCAAGAAAAAACTGAGATCTGTGAGATGGATAGGGCCACTTTAGCTTGACATAATACTGGGTTATTTGCTTATCTCTGGCGGTCCTGAAAACAAATCTAACTAAGCAATTCATAAGCCGTTTAATAAGTCTTGCTTCAAGTTCACCAGAGAGTTCACCCTACACCAGGCAGTCGTAATCAAAGTGGGGAAACACAAGGAATGAAACAAGGAGTTGCCGGGTTTTATGTGGGAGGAGGTAATGTAGGTGATTGAATTGTTAGAGAATTGATAAAGTCTGGCAGGAAATTTTCGAGATATATTGTTTCCAAGAGAGTTTGGTCAAAGGTGACTCCAAGGTTTTTAACTGAGGTGTCGAATGAGATAGGAGTGTTCAGAGTAAGATAAGACTGTCCTGGGAAGGATTTAAGGAGGGAAGAGAGGAACCAATCATGATGGGCTTTGATCTTCCCGGCCTTCAGGGTAAGCTTGTTGTGAGATGCCCAAGCGCTTATTCCGTCTATGCCTTTCTATAGCTTTATGGTTGCATTAGAGGAATCAGCAGGGTCAAAGGAAAGAAAAATTTGATCATCAGCATATAGATGATACTAGGAATGCTGAATGGAGAGTGGGAGATCATTAATGAAGTAAGAGAAAAGGTTTTGAGACAAAGAAGGACCCTGAAGTATGCCTTGGAAAAGGAGTCGAGAAGATTGAAAAACAGGATATTGTGGTCAACGGAGTCAAAGGCTTTTAAGAAGCCAAGGAGGATAAGGATGGTTAGTTCCTGCTGATCCACGGCTGTGTGGAGGTCTTGGGAAATTTTAATGGGGGTAGACTGAGTGGAATAGCCAGTCCCGAAACTAGATTGGAGGGAGTTTAGGAGGTTATTCTCTTCTAAAAATTGGGATAACTGGGATTGAACTAGTTGCTCTAAAGGTTTGGAGAGAATTGAGAGTAAAGAAATTGGACGGAAATCATAACGAGTTGATGGGTCAGAGGTCTTTTCCAAGGGGCGAGGTAGGGCAGTTTTCCAGGATGTAGTATTTCTATTATAACTATAATAAATTATAACAATAAATTTGCAAGACAATATATATATATCAATAACCAAGTATTTAAGTAAAAGTAAAACAAAATATATTTTTAGTTTTACCCACTCCTGTTATTAATAAAACTATTTTATTAATATACCTAGTTTGGCTTTTATCTCGCTATGAGTCATTTTATAACCTCTTTTTTTGTATGTAACCATCAAAATAGTTCTGTATCCACAAAGGTTTGGCAACCATTCGATGAGGCCACATTCATGAGTAATTGGCACAACACTCTAAAAATTAAAAAAAATAAATGACTGGTAATAATAAATTAATAATACTTTTTCTCACAATAAATTAAACAATACTGAGTATATTATTTATATTTATTTAAAAAATAAAAATTACACAAAAATGTATCAATATAATAAAACATATAGCAATGATGGGCTGCAGTGGTCAAGAGAGTTAAGGCGCCTGCAAAAACACTCAACTTGTAGAGGCTTTTTGTTTTTTATCGAAACCAAAAAGTCATGAGTTCAAATCCCGTTCGTGGGAACAAAAAAGATATCAATTAATAATAAACAAAAACTTATGGCATGGGTTCGATTCCCACATGGGGACTGTAACGTCCTCACCCAGAGATTCACAAGGAGGTGAGCAACCCCTGTGTCATACACAATAGCTCCTGATCCTCCAGGTTCGGGGTTGGACATAGGGCTTATATCTATCCCGGAAAAAGGAAAAAACACCTTATTATGAAACCAAAACGAAGCATCGGAAAATTGGACTTTCTTAACATGGTAACAACCTCAGCTTTGAATCATGGACTATACATTGGATCTTGGAACATATGTAGTTTATACAGAACAGGAGCGGCAAAAGCGGTAGTTAAGAAACTAAAACTAAAATGGTATAACATGCTGGTAACAACCATTCAAGACGTAAGGTAGCCAGATGGTGACGAAACCATTATCGACGACTCTACACTATTCTACTCCAGGAGAAAAAATAAAAATGTGACAGCCAGCAAGGGATTTATAGATAGTTCAGCAGCAAGGAAATCAATCATAAACTGAAGTAACTTGAGTTGAAAAATAAATTCGAACTCTTGGATTCGGATAGCCTCATGGTGGACCAACACTAGGAGGAAACAGAGAAAGAACTTAAGTTTTTCTTAAGAAACAGCTAAGAAAGTGATTGACATTCAGAAGAAACGAAAAACTAAGATATGGTTCACAGAATCATGCGAAAAAGCAGTAGAGGAAAGAAGAAAAATGAAAATCCTTGCTACAACTGATCAAGTTGCTCAGGTACACAGCTGCCAAAAAAAATGTAAACAAAATAATAAGATCGGCAAAAAGGGAATTTCTCAAAGAAAGGTTGCAAACCATTGAAGAAAACTGGCAGGCTGGAGATATACGGGAATTCTACGTAGACTTTAGGAAAGAAAGGGTATCATATAAAGGGAGAAATATGCAAATGAGAGGAAAATATGGCATTCTGACAGTATCTAAAGAAAAGATAATGAACATCTGAAAAGAACATTTCCAGGAACTTCTCAATCAAGGGGACTGCACGGAAGAAGATGACATGGACCACACTGAGGAATCAGGAACCCAGAAGAGGTTGAAAAACCAGATATACTGAATGTAAAAATAGCTATCGAAAGGCTCAAAATAAGAAAGGCCCGAGGGAGAGACAACCTAGCATCAGAAATGTTTAAAGATGGGGAAACGACTTAAGAGCCAAGCTAATCCAGAAAATATGGGAAGAGGAAAGGATACCTGAGGCTTGGAGAATACGGCCTTAGTCTGTCCTATCTTAAAAAAAGGCTCCATGTATGAGTGTAGTAATTACAGAGGCATCGCACTCCTTCCTTTTCCTTACAAGATAATGACCAATATCCTACTAAACCGGATACATACGTATTACGAAAATATAATAGGCAACCATCAAGCTGGATACAGAAAAGAGAAGATCATGCAAGACCAGATCTTCATCCTAAAACAAGTATGGCTTTATATTTTATGTCATTATTAGAACCCCTAAAACATATATATATAAATTCTGGAAAAGTCTTATGAATGTATTTAATATTTTTTTTTTAAAGGGAGTCCCTTTATATCAAATGGTTTTTGTATTTAAATTGAGTTTTTTTTTTTATTTTGTCTACTCCTTCCTCACCTTTTAGGCTTTTAGGTTACCGTGCACCCTCTTCCTCCCATATCTCTATAAATTGAATATTGCTTGTAACTATTCATTAAAAAAAAGCCAATGTCTCCACAAAAAAGTGACCACACTGCCCCAAAATGGCGTCTTAACATGGTGGACTGACGACTTTGACTTGAGTTAGTTTTTTTGGTTATTGAAATCAGAATTTAGCTTAATTTTGACATAATTGGTCTTTTATAAAATATGGATAGTCGGAGAATAACAAAATATTAAACAATAATTGGCTTAGGCAATAAAAAACACAAGTAAAGTCGATTATTTTTAAAAAAAATTAACAAGTTGAAAATAAATTGCCCATTCAATGCACCTTACGATGTACAAGGTTACTAAGCTATACGCCATTAACAGAGTTTTGCAGAGACCGAAACAAATGGTAGTCAGACGAGACAAGGTCTGGGCTATACGGTAGATGCATCAAAGGTTTCCAACCACGCTCTCTCGATCTTTGCCAGGTCATTGAAAATGTGTGTGATTTAACGTTGTCATGATGGAAGACAATGCCTTTACTACTGATCAATTATGGTCATTTTTCTTGAATCGCCTGCTTAAATCGCAGTAGTTGTTCACAGTAGAGTTGAATGATGATTTGACCAGCCCATGATGAACAATTCCTTTCTAATTCCACTAAACACTTAGTATCACATTCCTTGGCGTTTATCCGGGCTTTGCCACTGTTTGTGAAGCTTCTCAGGGCTTTAACCACGATCATTTTTGCACATTATTGTCATAAGTGATCCACGTTTCATCACCCGTGATCATTTGTTTCAAAAATGATTCGATTTTGTTTAGTTTCAGCAGTGATTCACAAATGGAAACTAGGTTCATTAAATTTTTGAAGTAGAACCTAAATATCAAGCTTCTTTTGGTATCCAGCTTTATATAAATGGTTCAAAACTGTTTTCTGGCCAAGTTTAGTTCTGTAGCAATGTTATAAGATGATATGTGGCTGTCTATCTCGATTTTTTGAAGAATTTCATAGACTTCTTCAGCGATTGGCCGGCTAGGGCGAGGTTCATCTTTAATATCTAAATTTCCAGAAAAAAAACTAGCAAACCAATTCTGACACTAGCATTCACTTAAGCACTCATCACCATAAACATCATGAAATTTTCGATGAGCATTTTTATCTTTTCGGAAGTAAAGCACGTTGCCGGCCTTAGGGTGGGGCAACCGGGACAATCGCCCCGGGGCGCCATCTGATCTAAAGGAGCACTCGCTACTAGTTAGAAATACCAAAAAAAAATCACAAAACATTTTAAAATAATTAATTTTAGGCTATCAATAAAGCAACTGTATAAGAGAAATATTGAATGAAATAAAATCTAAATATTTCATAATATAAAACAGCTTAAGAAATAAATTAAATTATTAGCCCTTATTGACAGCCTGAGATTGATTATAGCAACCATGGTTGTTATAACCACTATGCTTTTACAACGGCAATCCATCGAAAGGATGGAATTTATATGGTCACTTGTAGGTTGTTATAAACGATACCCAGTGTACAATTAATTTAAATCCAAATATTAGAATTATAAAGTTTGAAGATAGCAAATAAAATTTAAAAATTGGTTAACTATTCATTTTTTATTTACTATTAATGATATAATCACATAATATTAAATTTCATCAAAATTATACAAGAACAAATATACCTGCACCACTAATTCCTTATCTTTACCATATCTACAACTTTTCATTGCAAAACTCTATATTCTCCCATCCTCCTGGAAAACTGCCCTAGTCCGACCTTTGAATAAAATTCCAAACCCTACCTCACTCACGATTTCCGTCTTATTTCTCTCCTATCCAACCTTTCAAAGCCGCTAGAACGCCTTGTCCAAAATCAACTCTCCAACTTCCTAGAAGAACGTTCCCTTATCAATCTATTCCAATGTGCTCCAATCTACTCAACGCAATCCGCTCTCCTTAAAATAACCCATGACCTCCAAAACTCCATTGAACACCAAAATCTTACCATCCTCATCCTTCTAGATTTTTCCAAAGCGTTTGACACAGTTGACCATAACATCCTCCTTAAGAAATTGCACAATTTTCCTCTATCCAACAGTGTCCTGCGTTGGTTCAAATCCTTCCATTCAAATCGGTCCCAGTATGTAGCCGTCCCAGGTCAACTCCCATCTAAGACCCTCCCCCTCTCCTGTGATGTCCCTCAAGGTTCCTCTTTATCTCCTTCTCTGTTTGCTATTTACATTAATGACCTTCCTCTCCTGATCCGTCACTCCCAATACCTATCTATGCTGATGATTTCCAAATATCATCAAATCAAATACCTGTCCTTCCCGCCCTCTGACCTATTATCAGCCACAGAAAAACTTCAAGAAGACTTGGATAAGATTTGTGACTGGGCGAGAGCCAAGAAGTTGAAGTTGAATGTGGAAAAGACAAAGACAAACTTAATTGGCTCCAATCACCTCCTTAAAACTGTTCCACATCTTCCAAATCTTTTCCTACATGATAATCCTATCAAATTTTATCCCTCTATCAAAATCTTGGAATAACCTTCGATCAAACGCTTTCCTGGAAAAACCATGTATCCAACATCTCCCGCCAGACCATTTCCACCTTAAAACACCTAAACCACTTCCATCACTTATTTCCCCTTGAAACCCGTAGACTCCTGGTCACTTCCTTAATTTTTCCCCACTTTGACTATTGCTGTATATGGGGGCGTCTCTGGGGATCTCGAGGCGAAACTAAAACGCTTGATAAATTGCTTTGTACGATTCATCTTTGGGATCCCAAGGGATGGCTCTGTTTTCCGTTTTTGTGTAGAGTTGAAGTGACTTTACGTTTAAGCATTTCCTGGCATCCTTCCTCTTTCAAGTCATCCAATACCACCGACCTTCATACATCTCTGAGTTCCTCCAATTCAAATCCTCCAGGTCTTCTGATTTATACATAAGGGCCCACCGAACCACTGCTTTCTACAGATCGTTCATTATCTAATCCTCATCCTTATGGAATTCCATATCTTCCCACATCCATCAATCCAATATCCTTCCTACCTTTAAATCCCGCCTGTTCAATCATTTCTTATCCATCCAGTTTCCATAAAATTGTAAATAGATACCACTGTAAATATGTATATAAATTATTAGATTGTTCTTCATTATTTTTACTTTAATTTAATTTTTTTTATTATTAACTTATTTAAGTTAGAAAGTAACATATAATTTTTAATATGACTATTTTATTACTCAACATTTCTTTTTATGTATCTCTGAGGCTCCTTAGCCCACATTACTGTCCTTATGTATTATTCTAAAGGACTTGTCCCAGAATAAATAAAGTATTATTATTATTATTATTATTACAACCAAAAAGGGTCTGGATTTCTTGACCAGGGAGAACTAAAATTAATTACAATGCTGTTTAACTTTTTGAGTTCTAATTCACACAGCATATCCATCAGTAGAATAAATAATATTTAAAAAACCAAAACAAGAGAGAGTTGAATGGGACTAGTAAGTATAATAAATACTATATATTAAGACATCATGTCAGCAATAATGCTTGAGTATCATATCTATTTCTCAACCCAATGAAGAGACAGGGAGGGTCTCGTGGTCCCAGAGTCAAGCCACAACTGATATAACAGAATGAATAAATTTTCAGCCACAGCCGGACTTGAACCTGGAGTCTTATTGTAATACAACATTATCGACCCTAAAGTATTATCATTAAAAGCAAAAATTGAAAAGTAAATTAAACATTCATTAATGAATAATGAATTTATATCTTACATAAGTTCTTATGTGAAGATTTCTATCACACGAAGATGGAAGCCTCTTTAAATACATATTAATAACTGAACTGAATTCCATCATTCTTGCATCAAGATGTAAATCATCCTAAAACAAATTAGATTACAATATTGTTTAGAAAAAGCGAAAACATTCATTACGTTTACAGTAATCAGTCGACAGCAAAGATAAAAAAATAAAAGATATATTTTATTAACTCTCCATTCTTATTGATGAGTAACTAAAATTAACAGTATTTTTTACTTTCACTTAATTACATGTTTATGAAAAAAATAAATTCCAACATATGTTAGTTTGCTCAAATGTGTATGTGTGTATAGGTTTCTGTGTGTATATGAGTGTCTGTGAATGCAAATAATGTAGCTCAAAAAAGAAGACACACAACACTGAACTTACATATTTCAGGTAGGTATATTTCAGGTAGCTTGAAGAAGTTCGAGGTGTGCAAATTTCTGAACGTACCACTGGTATTAATGGCTTTTCGTCCAGTAAGAGGACCAGAGTTGACCAGAACTCACAGAGCTGGCTTTTGCTCGAGAACACAGCCATTGGACTATGGACGAATGGAGTAGTGCTGTACTTTTTACAGATGAGTCAAGATTCGCTCTTCGATCTCCAGACGGGAGTGAAAGGGTGTGGAGAAGAAGAAACGAAAGATATGCAGCCTGTAATTTTTCTCAGAGCCAACCTTTCCAATGTGGTTCCTTAATGGTGTGGGCTGGGATTTCAATGGAGCGCCGCACAGAATTGGTTGTTGTTCATGGAAGGTCTTTGACGGCCATTCGCTATGTAGATGAGATTTTGGAACCTCATGTGTTGCCTATCCTCAACGATATCGGCAATCGTTCTTTTTTAATGCATGATAATGCACGCCCACATGTCGCCATCATAGTGTAGACGTTCCTTCAACAGAACAATATTGAGGTTTTAGCCTGGCCAACACGTTCTCCAGATTTGAACCCCATTGAGCATTTATGGGATAACCTTGGAAGACGAATAACAGCGCGTGCAACACTTCCTGATACACTGCAAGACCTTGAAAGGGCTCTTCGGGAGGAATGGGCTATCCTACAGCAAAGGGACATTTCCCGTCTGGTGGAAAGTATGCCGAGGCGTCTTAAAGAAGTAGTGAAGGCAAGAGGAGGAAACACGCTACTAAACGATGATGTAATTAATTTCTTTTAGAATAATAATGGTTCGTTTTTCAATTTTTTTTTCTCTAATCTTTCTTACCCAATCACATTTTTATTATTAAAAGTAAAAAAGATTATAAAATTCCATAAATACTAAGTATTATCTACAAATACCATGTATTATATACAAATACAAATTTTTTTACAAGTGGGTGAAATATTGTTAGTTGAAAACATGAAAAAATCAAGTGGGTGGAATTTTTTGCCTGTCAGTGTATATATATTTTTTTTTTTTTGGTTTGCTCTACAGACCTTGTAGATCTTTGGCCGCCTGAACCAGCCTTCTCCACCTCTGCCTATCTTGGGCTACTGCTTTCCAGTTTGCTGCATGAAGCTCAACCGTATCTTTGTTTAACCTATCTATCCATCTGGTTTTTGGCCTCCCACGTGGTCTCTTGCCTACTACTCTGGCATTCATTGTCCTGTAGAGGCGTCCTGATGGATTACTACTAGCTACATACCCTGCCCATCTTAATCTCCTTGCCTTCATGTCATGAGATATTGATTGACCAGTTTCTTTCAACAGTTCTTTATTGTTCCTTCTCCTCCATGTGTCAAGGCTCTGGTCCCATATAGGTCGTGTTATCCTACGTAGAACTTTTCTTTCGAATCTCTTAATTCTGGTTTCTAGTGTGCAAGTTAAAGCCCAGGTTTCACAACCGTACAGCAGAACGGGCTTAATCATGGCGTTTTACACCCTTATTTTGAGATTTCTGGATTTCAGTACCTTTGAAAGAGAGAAAAAAGATCTGTTCGCACTTGTTATTCGCTGGTCTATCTCTGTTAGTTGATCATTTATTGAGGTTATTGTAGAGCCGAGGTATTTGAATCTGTCTACTTTCCGGAATGACTTAGAATCCACGCAGCACATGTTATTAGGGTGGATGTTTCGGCTGACTATCATCTATTTCGTTTTATCTACATTGACCTGTAGTCCGATTTGCTCTGCTTCTTTTAATAGATTCCGAGCGAGTCTCTCAATATCCTCTTGATTACTTCTGAGGACAGCTATATCATCGGCATATGCTAGGATTTTATGTTTCATTCCAATGTGCACCCCTCCATCTTTGCATGATGTTATTCTTATTACTTTCTCTAGTGCTAAGTTGAACAGCATCGGTGAGAGTCCATCTCCCTGCCTCAAACCCATTCGAACTTCAAAGGCTTCAGATACATCCCCTGGTATTAGTACCCTGCATTTAGATTCATTTGTACACGCCTTCATCAACCTCACTAATTTCCCAGGAACACCCAGCTCAGTCATGATCTTCCAGAGACAGTTTCTGTCAATGGGGTCATAGTCATAACATATATACATATATATATATATATATATATATATATATATAAGTTAACTATTGGCTTCGATAAATAGAAAAATGAAGAAACAAATAACTGGAAATAATTCAATAGTTTTTATTTAACAACAAACAGTAGTATCTAACTCAAAGAGGTTATAACAGTATATATTTTAACATGTGTTTATTTTAAATTGCAAGAAATAATAATGTATTTATTTTTAATTGAAACAAATAATATTAAGTCTTAAAAGTCTTATCTATCTCACATTGGACCTTAACTTATATATATATATATATATATATATATATATATATATATATAACAAATAAAACTATAAACAAAATACTTATAAAAAGAAAAATACACTAAATTCTTCTTAAATATAAGTTCTGCTAAGAAAAAAGAAAACCGAATCTGACAATATAAAATTCTTGAGTATTTAAATACAGAATAATATGTAAACATATCATGATCATTTCATAACATTACTATAGGCACGAATTTAATTTTATATAAAAAAATAAAATTAATAAAAAAACAATAGATGCATTCAGTGCCATCAAGAGTAGGAAAATCTCATAATATCCCAAACAAAGAGCTCCACTAACATTTGATGATGAATGACATGACATAAATGTATAATATCAAAATGTTAGCAAGTATCTGACTGTTATGGAGACAGGAATTGGAATATGAGGGAATTCCAGAAATTAACATAGCAAGCAATAAAGGAGTTTTGGAATGAGACAGATCTATGAGAAGAAATGTAAAGATCAGAAGGTCAAGATCTTGGGGTAAGGGATTGGACTGAGGACTTGAATTGGAGAAGGTTATAGGCATAAGAAGGATGATGATTTGGCAGAGGAATATACCTAGGAAATATTGTCTTTGGAAAAAGGAGAAGAGCCACCTTAACTCAGTGTAGTGGTGAAAGACATGGGTGCATCTCAGGAACCCAATTACAAATGTTATGTAGCTATTCGTTAGCCTTTTTCCAGTCTATCACGAAGCTCCACCGAGAGGCCATCGTACACCACACAGCTGTAGTCAAAGTGGGGAAAGATGAGAGTGGAATGGAAACTAGGAGTCTATGTGTATATTGAGGTAGGAAATGGCGAAAGTGATAAAATAGTTTGAGGGTAGAATTTGTCCTTCAGGAGATGTAAGAAATATGGTGATTCCAAGAGAGAGTTTGATCAATAAGCCTAAAGTTTTATCAGAGGAGTCTAAGGTGACGGAATGGTCATTAAGGTGTCGACTGGGAAAGTTGGTATGGGACCTAAGAAGAGGCTTGAAACCAATGACAATGCTCTGAGTGTTAGCAGCATTTAACCTTAATCCGTTTACATTTTAGCCCAAGCACTGAATTCAATCTAGGTCTTCTTGAATCTCTTGAATCTTGGCAAATGCTACCAATTACTCAGAGGGAGAAAAGAATAGAGATTTGAGAATCGTCTACATAAAGATGAGGAGGACAATGGAGAATTGAGTCATGTAGGTCATTAATATACGAGCTACAAAAGGGAGGAGATATGCTTGAACCCTGAACAACTCTAGAGAATAAAGAAAGGTAGGCAGAAAGTAGTTGATTGGGTACGTTGAGAGAGGAAAGATTGGAACAAAGAGATGGAACTTTTGGAGAAGGATATTGATTTCAGTTTGTTAAAAAGAACGGAATGATTAATGAAATCGAAGGCTTTGGAGAATTCAAGAAGTTAATTTTTAAAGAAGAAGGACTGTTAATTTTTAATTATCTATCACAGTTTGAATATCATTGGTAATTTTAATTAAGGTGGATTGTGTGGAATAGCTGGGATGAAAACTAGATTAGAGAGGATCAAGTTGGTTGAAATTTTAAAAGAAGTTGGAAACTTAGGATTGCATCAATCTTTCTAGAAGTTTTGAGAGATTAGAAAGAATTGATATTGGACAGAAATCTTTGGGATAAGATGGATTAGACTTTTTATTTAAAGGAAGGACAATGGCTTTTTTCCAAGAGGTAGAGAATACTGAATTCTGAAGGGATAAATTGTAGATAAAAAGGAGAACTGGAAGGATTTCAGGGATGCATAATTTGATTAATTTGGCAGGAATGGCATTTGGACCAATAGAATTAGAATGTGATTTCATCATGGCGGATATGAGGTCTGTGGGAGAAATATCTGAGAAGTAAAAGTCGTCGCCGTTGAAAGATATTCCAGAAGGAAGAGGAGGTTAGAGAAGAGGTATTAGCAACAGATATAAAATTTGAGTTCAAATGATCAGGCGATATTGGAAAGGTTGAGGTAGAGAATCTGGAAGGTTCACAAAGTGACAGTTCACGAAGCAGTGACCATTTTGATTTGATATAGGAGCTGAGGAATTAACTTATAATAATTAGCTGAATAATTAACTTAAGGAGAAAATGATAAGCTACGTGAAAATAAAATGAAAAATATTTCTTTAAAAATATTAAAACATTTGTAATCGATAATTATGTTGGCTATTGTGCAGCTCAATATTATTTTATACTAATTATATTATATCTTGACCATTTTAACAAATATTTTAATTCTTTTTTTTAGAAGGTGTTAAAGAAGATGAGTCAGAACTATTAAAACAATTGTTTAGGAGTTTAGTTTCCGACTTTATAGAGTAATTATAGGTTTGGTCATTGGCGAGGGGTGCCACTACAAAAAAAAAAAAAAAATTAAGTTTTTGAATGATTTTGTATTTATGTTCACCATTTTCATCCTAAAAAAAGCTTTTGATTTTTTATACAAGACATAAGTAATTATTTCACAATTTGAAACTCCCTTAAATGGGAACACAAAAGAATACCACATGACCTAGAGAAACAGTAACTAATTAATTTCATTTAATTACTAATTGTACCATATCATATCATTGATCATAGTTTGGATTCAAAATAAAACAGTAAGATATGTCTTTAGTCATAATATAATATAGAGCTCTAAGAAGAGATTTATTTTATTTTTTGTTGCCCTCCCTAAAGATAAAGCATATGGGTCATCATCAGGACTAAAAATTAAAAACAAAATATAAAATTACGTCAGAAAAATGAGATATAGATAAAATTATGTAAATAAGAGAAAATAAAAGATGGAATGTATACATGAGGTAACAATGATATAAACGTAACAGTAATATAAACATTAAAGAAGGCTAAAGTTTGTTAGCATATTGTTATGTTTGTACTACTGTTATGTTTATATTATCGTTATTTCATGTATACTCTCCATCTTTTATCTTCTCTTATTTACATAATTTTATCTATATCTCATTTTTCTGATGTAATTTTATATTTTGTTTTTAATTTTTAGTCCTGATGATGACCCCTATGCTTGGGTCAAAACGTCAGCAAACTTTATAAATAACATAAATGACTGCATACCCTGATTATTTTGCATCATTGTAGTCAATTTTATTTTATTTCATATTATTATTTATCTAGTCTCCTTACATAATTTTATCTATATCTCATGTATAATGTAATTTTAAATATTTTTTTTATTTTTAGCCCTGATGATGGACTCACATGCTTGGGTCAAAACATCAGGAAACTTTATAAACAACATAAATTACTGAATATCCTGATTATTTTTCATCATTATAATTTTAACAGTCAGGTATATCTCCATCTCTCAAATTCACTGAACATAACTTCAAATTAGTTAGCAGCTAATTGTACATTATAATATAGTGCCACTAGTAAACCTAAATCTATATTAAATAAATAACCAAAGAAAATCCACTATGAAATATTGTATTTACCATTGGTTTACACATAAATGGATATCTTAACCCATCAGATCCGATAAATGTCAATTTTTTAGGCCTTTGCAGAGAATTCAACAACTGAACAGAGTTTTCAACATCGGCAAAATAAACCAGGTCTCTGAAAAAAAAAATGCACAATTATAAAATAATTATAAACAAAATCTTAAAAGTTTTTATAAAGATCTAAAAATAATAAATTACTAACTAAAAATGAAAAAATCTATCATTATGAATGGAAGATATAAATTAAATAGAAAATGTAAATGAATGAATTAAGAAGGCAATTGAAACTGACTTATTACAAAAAATTGCATCTTAATTAGAACTTAAACTTTAAAGGAAACATAAATGTTAAACTTAAAGTTTGAAAGTTAAAACTTAAACTTACAAAGGAAAAGCGTTGTGTGTGATTAATCCAACATCATTTTCAAAATGTTTACTATTTGGAAGGCATATAGTCCGGAATTTTTGAGAAGGAATCATTATGCTATTTTTTCCAATAATCAATTTTATCTTCTGAGAAATCGATTTTAATGGAAGGAGTGATCTCTAGAACAAATAAATTTCCAAATGACAGTAGAAATAAATATAGTTTAATGACAAATCTCAGTATATCTTACCTCAGCAGGAACTTTTTTGTTACAAATATTGATTATAACATCAATAAGTTCTATAAAATTTGTATAGAATGTCAGAAGATCTGGTTTTTCAGTCTTAATTAACTTTATTAGATCTTCTTTACATTTCTTATGGTCTGCATCAGACATCTATAACACATATAAGGTACTAAATTTAAGATATTGTAACTCATTTAACATTTTACTAAAAAAAAAATTGAATAAATATAACTGTTCGTGAATTGATTAAGATAAACTATGGACGTTTGAATTTTGTATAGTATTATGTGAAATGTATTATTTTTAATTGCAGGCAACACTGCTGTTATGAAAGGTTTTAAAACCAGATGTTATTAATTATTATTAGAATGAATGTGTGTGATAAAAATCTTCTTTGTAAAATATTCTGAATTACAATATAATAATTTTGTGTTTTTGTTTTTTTAAATTGTCATCAATCATTACTTTTCTCAAGTTCCCATGTTTATTTACTTTTGTATAACGAGAAATAATGGCATCCCTTGCGGGGAACTGTTAAGTAGTAAATTTATTCATTGAATTTAAGATGAGTACATTAAAAGAATTAAAAAGAGAAAGGGCATATGTACGGAGAAGATTTAACTTGGCCTACAATGATTTCATCCAAATGTACAAAGAAGAGATTTGCAGGTTTTTGGTTTTTGATATTGAGCGATAAAGTTGAGAGACTTTTTGGCTTAGACGCTCATATATAAGAACTTTTATAAATGCATGTTGATGATAATAGTTTAATTGAAAAAGAATTTGTTGAGGTAGAAATTTATAGAGCTAAATGGTTTTCAGCTGTTTATTTTAAATAAAAATAACTATTCAAAGAAACCAGAAACCCAAGGCAGAGAAAGAAGATAAGGATAGAAGTGAAGAACTGAACAAGAAAACCCTACTATGCAGGAAGTTTTATTTAAGATCAGCAGAAAGGAAGACAAATCAGCATTGATAGAAGCTGAAAAATTGAGAAAAGAGGAAGAATATAAGAAAGTTGAAAAGAAATCAACAGAAAATTTTTATAAGATTTTTAATTGAATTAAAGATGGAATATGCTTGAATAACAGTTCCTAAAATTAAAGTACTTCCATTTGATGAAAAAGAAGTCGAAAAGGATAAGAAAGGCCAAGAGATAAGAAAATACGAAGAAGGAATAAGTAATCTGAAGATATTTTTCTAGAAGATAAACAAACAAATATACCTCAAAAAACTCAGAAAAATGTTCCAGATCTGAAAGAAGATGATGAAAGAACAACCAAATATAGAAAGAAGGCAAAATAGAGCCAAAATGAGAAGACAACACTAAAGGAGATGAAGGCTCCTGAATATAAGAAATCTGAAACTTATTCTAATACAAGAGTAGCTGATCCTGATCCTGATGATGACCGAGAATTTTTAAAATTTTATGGCTAGACCTAAATGGCAGTATGAAGGCTTTTCAACATACTCTTGTGTTTTTTGATACTACTTGTAGCTCTTTTTTACTGAGAGCTGTGTTTGAACACTTATTAGACAGAACTGAAGAACGTTGTCATCAATTGTATTGTTAATTATTCTGGAAAAATATTTGAAAAATTGAGAAAATGTTTATATGTTGACAATTCTGTAACTAGTATTACATATGAAGATGAAGTTAAACTTTTTATTGAAGAAAGTACCGCTATAAAGTAAGTTGAAACAGCTGCATTTGACCTTAGAGGATGGGAGTACAATGATAACAATCCCTCAGAATCTACGAACACCCCAGTGCTAGGAATCATATGGGATCAGAAAGCTGCTATTATTAGAATAAATATTCCTAAACTAACAACTACAAAAAAGGTGTCAAGAAGAACACCTCTGTCAGTCTTTAAGAAACTAATTGGCCTTAGTGGGATTACTTCAGCTGCCACAATTATACCTAGACAGTTAATACAGAAGAGTGAACTCCAAAATTGGAAGAGAACAAAGATCTGAAGAAACATGGTGATCGTTTGTTACAAACACGATGTGGCAGAAATGTGTGAATGCCTGTATGTTTAGTTAAATTATTTGTCTAGCACACATTGGTTTGATGGTTTTAAATAGTTTTGTAATCTGTTTTGTAATATGTTTGTAATCTGTTGTTACATGTTTTGTAATCAGTTTGCATTAATTTCTAGAAAAATTTGTTGAGTAGTTAAAAACTCCTCAAAATGGGAGGATGTTCGGGAATTTATTAATTTATTAAGATGAACTATGATGAAAGTTTGAATTTTTTATATTACTATGTGAAATGTATTGTTTTTAATTGCAGGCAACACTGCTGTTATGAAAGATTTTAAAATTTAAAACCAGATGTTATTAATTACTAGAATTAATGTGAGAGTTAAAAATCTTCTTTATAAAATTTGCTGAATTATAATAATTTTGTGGGGGTTTTAAAATTGCTACTTTTTTCCATTTTCCAAGTTGTTATTTACTTTTGTATTGTGAGAAAATAACTAAACTGAGAATATTTTTAAGACATAAAAGTTCTTTCTTGTTCATAAAATACTAGAAGCACCTGGTACATGACTTAGCCTAGTTCTTAAGAAGGTAAAGACCATGTACATGAGAGTTAGAAGTGGAAATGACCACACACGTCATTATCACTACTTTCAGATTATTCAATATAGGTTTGAGAGGAAGAACTGTTCTATTTACTAGGGATATAAGGGAAATGCCAGAAATGGCCTCGAATAAGAAATACAGAAGAGAATTACTGCAGCCAATAGGTGTAATTGTAGTAGTTTGTGAAGTCAATTTCTAAAATTCATTCAATTCTTTATTTTTTTACTGAGAAAAAATATATTTTGCCTCGATTAAGGGCATTGAATATTTGAGATGTAAGAGACGCGTCCATAACATATATACAATAACAAAAACAATAGGAAAATTATAACAAAAAAAAAAAAGAAAAAGAAAACTTAGTGAAACAGAAGAGATAGAACATGAGACAACATTAAATAAAAATATAAAAACATATTCATACTTATTTACAATATTTACAGTCAGCCAAGGGAGATCCAAGTCGGATCCTTTCCTCTACGTGTGGAGGATAAGGCAAGACTCTAAGAGATCCCAGGGCTTCTCTCTTAACCGTGTCACTGTGATCCAGGGTATCCAGTGGAGACAGAGAGAGGGCACTAAAGCCAAATACACTCATGACTTAAGTGGAGAAGCTGGCCATTGCCAGGATTCCAATGACGTGTTTACAAAAGATCTCGAGACCACTGCTGTTTTAATCTTTGAGGAGGATTGTAGGGATGACAGGAACTGAATAAGGATTGTGCTAAGGAATTAGGATGATGGATTAGGTTCTGATGAAAATTTGAGAATCAGGATGGAATAATGTCAAGGACATAAGAGATGTTAACGTCATGATGTAGAGTTTTGTTTATAACATAATAAGGAGCATTGATTATTGTACTAAGGAATTTAGATTGGAAGCATTTGATGTTCGAAAATTTAGCTGTCCCCCACAGTTCAAGACCATAGGTCCAGATGGGTTTTAGTATGGTCTTGTAAATTAATATTTTTTTTCCATTGAGCGATTAGAGTTTCTGTTGAGTAGTCTATATAATTGGCCAAATTGTAGGTTAAGTTCTTGTCTTTTAAGTCTAGTATGGAGATTCCATGTTAGTCTTTTTTCTAAAAGGAATCCAAGATACTGTGTCTAAGATGGGAAGAGGTAGAGTTGAAAAGGATAGGTGGTCAGGATCTGCGTTGGAGAGTAAAGGTGACATGCTTGCATTTGGATTCATTGATTTTGATGCATCAATTGTTGCACCACTGCTCAATTAGACAGATATGTCTTTGTAGGTTTAGAGATGCTGTTTCAGGGTCTGGGTGGGATGACAGGATGGCAGTATCGTTAACGAATGTTGTTAGAAGGGTATCGGGATTGGTTAGGATGTCAGTGGTGAAGAGGATGTAGAGAACTGGGGCCAAGACACTGCTTGTGAAACACCAGCTTCAACTAGATAATGATTGGAGAATTCAGTGTCGCAGGAGACTTGAAAGGAACGGTTGGAGAGATATGATTTGAAGACTAGGTACAAGGATTGGCACTTGTGCCATGTTCAGAAAGGCACCAGTGCAATATTGCTTGTTTTCATGCACAGAGGATATATGGTCAACAACACGAAGGCCTTTTTGAACAGTGGAATGTCTTGAGCAGAATACCAAACTGGTGAGAAAGGATATTGTGGGATTCGCGTATGGATAGGATGGATTTGAGGAGGATTTTATCAAAGAGTTTTGAGAGGATCAGGAGTAAGCTTATTTTTCTATAGGATGAGGTATTATAAACAGGTTTACCTGGTCTAGGGAAGAGGATGATCATGGAGTGTTTCCATACCAGAGGAAAATGAGTTGTACCAAGGATACAGTTGTATAAGTACATGAGGAAGATGATTGCTTTTTTGGGAAGTTTTTCTAAGGATATGGGAAGTAAGGAGATCGTATCCAGGGAATTTTCGAGGTTTTAGGTTGTTTATAAGGAATTTGACCTCAGAGGGGTTGACTGCTTTAGGAAGCAAGGAGATAGGAATCGGTGAAAAGAGGAATTCTTTAACTTCAGCAGTGTGGGTGGGATGGAGTTCAGGGTGAGGAGTGAATGTGTTGGATACATGTTTGGCAAATTCTTCAGCTCTAGTCTCATCTGACGAAGTCCAGGTTCCATCATCCAATCGGAGGAGGTGAGAAATAGAGTGGTATTTAAGGACTTTTTTGGTTACTTTCCAGAGGGAATTATCATTAGCAGACAGGGAAGAAAGGTAGATTGTAGTAATTGTAGGATTGGGATCTTAAGGAAGCCAATTCTTTTTTAACCTGTTTGGAATAATAATTGTATAATTTCCGATCATTAGGGTACCTGGTTCTTTGCTAGAGGGTCCTAGATTGGCGTTTGGATTTAATTAGGTCAGTAAGGTTTTGGGACAAAGGATTTTTTTTTTAAGAGGAGTGGAGAGGATGCAGTCCAGACTGCTTGTTGGATCAAGGTGGCGAAGAAAGTCACTGCATTATCTAGGTCTTGAGAGGTTTTTATGGGTACTCTGAGGTCTATTGCATCTGTTATTGTTTGGCAGAAAAGGTTCCAGTTGACTGGGCCTCTGATGAATGAG